CTTAATTAAAGGTGCATCCCACTGATTTTATTTTTAAGCTTGTAGAAACGGGTGAAGTTTTTTGGTCACTAAAGTAGATTCAGTGTTTTTGGAACTTGACCAACACTAGAAACCAGAAGCTAAGATATTTCAGCCTTGGCTGCCTTGATTTTGACCATTCTTTATTTCGTGTTTATGAAGTTGCAGTAAGGACCCTGCACTGATCATGTTTACTGCTCAATATTCTGATATTATCCTCATATTAATCGTTTGTTAAATATTCTGATATGAGCCTGATATTAACATGAGACCTCCTTGACCTTAAGGATGCTCTCACTCTCTATCTCCCTTCAGATGAGAAGGTCACCATCTTTGATAAGACAGAAGTCAATCTGGTTGCTTTCAGAAGAACCATCTACCTCGCCATACAGTCCAGGTATACACACACGCACACACGCTCTTTCTGTAGTTTTGATGACACTCATTAATATAATGCAATTCCTAGAGCCTAATACCTAAACTAAACCTAATTTTAACCTTAAACCTAAGTCTTAACCTTCAAACTGTCTTTCAAAGTTGTGAGAACCAACCAAATTGGCCTCACAATGACTGTTTAAAAATAAAACAAACGATGTGCACACACTCAGAGAATCAGTTGTCTCTCAGGGTGTTGGTAGTTATTTACAGCTCCTTCTATATTTAAAGCTGTGTGCATCTGAGCTGCAATGGTTCTTTTGAAGAACAGTTCACAGGTTTGGAAAACAGATTGAGAAAAGTGATGTACACTGACTTATTATTTCTGTAGTTTGGACTTTGAGGAGTGCGCTCACAAACTGATCAAGATGGATTTTCCTGACAGCCAGACGGTGAGTATGTGCACACTTGTACTTTTGTCTTTGTGAGGACACTCATTGCCTGATTTTAACCTAAACCCTAACACCAAGTTTTAACCCTCAAACAGTACTTTGAAGGTGTGTCAGAAAGTGAGGACACAAACACACAAGTGAACACACTTGGTTTATGTAAAAGGCTTGTTTTGCAAACGTTAATAAGGTTGAATGTGGAAACCTTTTCTCTGTTTTCCACCTCAGATGACTTGAGTTTCTCCACACAGTGAAAGCACATGTGACTGAAATACTGTTGAATAATACACAGTATAATGATTGGGGAAGCAGTGGCGCTGGACGATACCTGGGCTCATTTGGATATTCATGAATCTTAGAATTCACAAAAAAAGAACAAAGACCAGATGTGTTTTCAACCCTTTTCAGAGGTTTACTGAACTTTTTTTTGTGCAAGAACTCTGTTGGACAATATTTTTGTCGTGTTTTTTTTATGCCCTAAAATGTCTCTGGAGGGGGACCTTTAAATGACTGGTGTAACAATACTGGATGCTTCAGAAAGTTTCAACCTCCGTTTGGATTTTACAGCAAGTCTTTGAAGAATTGGATGTGAACTTCGATGTGTGTTTGTTTTATTTATTCACTTTGTATAAATGTATTGCCTGTATTAATAGGACATTTCATGTTTGTGTGAACAGAAGGAGCTATGTAACATGATCCTGGACTGCTGCGCTCAACAGAGAACCTACGAGAAGTTCTTCGGTCTGCTGGCTGGGGTGAGACACACACGTTAGTGTTACTTTACTGGTAACAACATTATAGTGACTCTACGTTATTCACACTAGCAACAAAAATATATCTTTATAAAACATCATAACTCACACATGACTGATTCGCTGTTCAAACCAAGAAACCCAGAGGAAAAACAAACATCTGAAGCACTACTGAGAAACATGTATCATCTGAAACGGTAATACTTGTTAACTTTGTGTCTCCTCTAGAGGTTTCTTCCGTTAAAGGAAGTTTTTGCTCCCCACTGTCGCCAAGTGCTTGCTCAAGGGGGATTTGTTGGGTTTTCCCTATGTAATAATATTGATAACAGTAAGGTCTAGACCTTACTTTGTGAAGTGTCCTGAGATGACTTTTGTTGTGATTTGGCGCTGTACAAATAAATTTTGATTTGATTTGAACACATTTGTGTGTGTGTGTGTCTTTGTGTTTAGAGGTTCTGCCTGCTGAAGAAGGAGTACATGGAGAGTTTTGAGGGAATTTTTTCAGAGCAGTACGAAACAATTCATCGACTAGAGACCAACAAACTGAGGAATGTGGCGCGACTGTTTGCTCACCTGCTCTACACAGACTCTGTTCCCTGGAGTGTAAGGACACACATACACTTGTCTTTTTATAGTTGTGTGGACCCAATTTGGACTAATGCATACACAAAAGGATGGCCCAGCAGGGGGAACCACTGACTTAACACCAAACCCTAAAGCTGAGTTTTTAACTCTCGAACTGCCCTTTGAAGTTGTGAGGACGAGTCAAAATGTCCTCACAACGATGGTATTGAATTAAAATTTGCCTACATAACCACAGAAAGACTTGCACACCCTACTAAGCTCTACTAAACTCACCTGAAACACACCTGAAGATAATTGTTCTTTCATGTTGAAGTTACCTTATAATTCTTCCTCTCTTTCTCTGTCTCTCTCCCTGTGCTGTCTTGTAAATGTCTTTCGACCAGGTGTTGGAGTGTGTCAAAATGAGCGAGGAAACCACGACGTCATCCAGCAGGATCTTTGTGAAGATTCTTTTCCAGGAGCTCTGTGCCTACATGGGCCTCCCCAAACTCAACCAGAGGCTCAAAGACCAGTACGTACACACACACTGGACAGTCATACCATGGTCACACATAGTTCTCAGACTGTTTTGATGAAGCTCTGTCCCATTTGCTAGATTATCTTCATCAGTGTATTTTCCCATAGAATATGAAGAAACAACACTGATTGTCTGATGACTGGTGCTGTTGAAGTGATGGATTACACCAGGATATAAAGCCATAATCTGTGTGTGCACATTTGTTTCAGGACTCTGCAGCCGTTCTTTGAAGGTCTGTTCCCTCGAGATAATCCCAGAAACACTCGCTTCGCCATCAACTTCTTCACCTCTATTGGACTTGGAGGACTGACGTAAGAGACGCATGTTGTAAAATATGAGTTCATCTTAAAAATATGAGGACATTCCTGCCATATGTGAATGTTAAACTTCAAAACCATTAATCTGTAGCTTGAACATGTTATCAGCAGCTCTTGCAAACCATTAAATTTATTTAACTGCTGTAGGTGGTATTAAAAATTTATATTTAAGTTAAAAAGGTCTTTCTGGCTTTTGACTCCTTACCTGACTCCAAAGGAGAGCTGCACAAGAATTCCTATATGCCTAGACTGTCTGTTTATGCATAAATGGCCAATAAAAATCTTGACTTGACTTGAATATGTTGTGTTGCCGGCTGTAGACTCTTGTGTATGATTGCAAGCTATCAGGAGACATTATACGCCTATAAACACATTTCACACACAGTTCTCTTGCTCTCTCAGGGACGAGTTGAGGGAGCATTTGAAGAATGCTCCGAAGATGATCATGACTCAGAAACAGGAAGTCGAGTCCTCAGACTCCTCCTCCTCCTCAGACTCCTCCTCATCTGACTCCTCCTCCTCAGACTCTTCCAGTGAATCGGACTCCTCGGACTCCTCCTCAAGCAGCAGCTCAGGTATGTCAATTGTTTTATTTGCTCCCCCATTTTATTTAGTTCTCAGCTGCAAGTCAAAAAAAAAAATTAAAAATTGTCTGTAACTACCTGAGATCTTATTTTTTCATGGTTTTATGAAATTTAAGTACAATTTAGCAATTAAAAAATATGTAGATAAATAATAACAGGTAAAATTTTAAATTTAATGAATAATTAAGACATCATGAAATTGTTTTTAGCCAGGGTTTAATAGATTGGAGTGATCTGACAGTGTAGGTAACCACCTCAGGATTTTGAGAACTTGGAAAAGTTTTAAAAGCTTTAGAAACAAGCAAACAAAAAATTTAATAATTTCTATATTTCAGTGCCCAGTATTGGGCAGATATGGTCTTTCTTCTTGGTGGGAAGTCTCGCTGCTTCTGAATTTAAACCAGCTACAGGTGAACTAGAGCAGACTGACTGACCTACATAAGGAAAACTGCAGTAGTCAAGAAGTGAAGTAAAGAAACCAGGAGTGAACTTTGTGTACTCACCATAATATCTGCAAATCCAGACCCTGGTATAGTTTATTCGTCCTAGTGCAGTGGTGTGATTCATCAGTGTGTTTTGAATAGTTTTTTGACAACTCTGGAGGTTTATATCACATTGGCATAAGTTAAACCAGGTTCTGGACTCAAATATTAAAGTTAGTTCATGATATTCAGTGTTGGTTTTTGTCTCTGTAAGGGAAAATAATCAAAGGCCTTATCATTTAAAACAGAATTATACTGAGGAAAGAGCGAATGATGAATTAATAGAAGACTGGTTACATTTCTTTCTTGTCTTCCAGACTCAGACGCCAAACACAGGAAGAGGAAGAAGAGAAAAGAACAGAGTGAGAAAAAAAAGAACGAGGACAAACTGTCTGACAAGAAGCGAACGCGACGCAAAGGCAAGGACGAGGATGACGGTGACGATGACGAGCAGACGAGGAAGGACAGAAAAGGCCGTGCACATGAGGAAGAGAGGCATGAACGTGAGGCACATGATCGTGGGCGTGCACGTGAAGGCGACCGCTGGAACAGACGAGATGAAAGAGCAGGAGAAGGGGAGGAAGAGGAGAGGAGACGAAAAATGGACGTTCAAGACAGGCAAAGAGACAGAGGTAGGGAGAGAGAGAGAGAGCGAGCGAGGGAGAGGGAGAATGAGGACAAGAGAGAGGGGGAGAGAGTACCAGAAAAGCACAGGGAGCAAGAGAGGAACAAAGAGAACAGGGACAGGAACAGAGAGAAGGAGGAAAGGAGGAGGAGATAAAAATCTTCTTCTGTGCGTTGTCAAGCAGAAGTGATGGACTGATGAGTGACAGATGAGTGAATCTTTTCCCTCCATCATCCCTCTCTTCTTCACTTCACCCTATTACTGATTTTTGATATTTGGGACCTGTCTGTTTTATATTGTTGATGAAGACAAAAAAAAAATCATTAAAGTTGTTTAGATGTTTTTTTTTAACTTTTTCCAGTTCCTGACTATGTTCACAGTATTTTTTTTTTTTTTACCTCGCAGCAACAGTCACCAGAAAAATTACAGGATGTTTTGTTTTTCGAAGATGTGATATGTGAGATTTAGTGACATCTATCAGTGAGGTTGTAGATTGCAATGTTCAGCAAAGTTTTCATACACGGTGTTCAACAGCGATTACCGAAAATGTAGGACAAATTGCACACCCAAACAACTGCAGCTCACTAGACCAAACAAAAGCCAACTGTGACTCACTTGAGCGGAGCGTAATTTTCATATTAGGATGTGTAATAATACCATTTTATTATGCCTATTAGTAAATAGTAAGCCAGACTTTAAATGTCCATCCTAGCCTCTCCAAGCACCCTTACTGTAATTGCATGAAAAGAAGTGCAGCAAAAGTTGAACGGCAGCTGGCCTGCATGGGTTTTTGCATTTGACAGCTCACTTGACTACAGTTAACATTATCCTGTTTCCTCTTTGATGACAGGGATTCACACTGGTTTCTTTTTTCTTGTGTTAAAATTTAGTTATGATTCTCCATTTATTCAAATAATATTTCTTAAACTCATGACAATGCTTCCTCTTGTTTCTGATGTTACTTGTTTTTGTCTTACAACCTTCTCCAAATCCAGGCTGCTATTTCATGAGGAAATGTGAAATTCACACCAGTGTGGTGTTTGTCTGTTCTGGGCTACTGCAGAAAAACATGGCGGTTCAACATGGCGACCTCCATGATAGGGGACCCACTCCTATGTAGATATACAAGGTTCATTCTAAGATAAAGAAAACACAACTATTCTTATTTTCTGGCAATAGCATATTATTGAAAGCATAATTATGCACACTATAGCCCAACTCTGCTAATAAATCCTTTTAGATCTTACACATTTCACCTTTAATTTATATAATTATTTCATCATAAGATTATTAATATTAGAAATGTCCAAGACTGGAGTAAGTTTTTATCAAAAATGTGAGAGTGCACTGTGCAGTAGTTTATGGCAGTTTTCCAGGTGCAGATGTGATGCCTTCTGCCCTGGTTGCTTGAGTTGTATCTATCATAAAACAAAAGCAAAACACAGATATGGGTTACACAAACCACAAAGGATGATGTGGTGGCAAAACATTCCTCAGGAGCCTGTAACCTCAGATAGTGAGGGAACCGATGTCTGGAGAGTAACAGCAAGCTACAGTGTCATGACAAAGATATCAAACAAAGGGTATGGATTTGTTTGAGTTGTTATTAACCTGAATTTGTATTTGCATTCTGCCTCCATTTTCTGTCATAGCTGCTGCACCTGATTATTTTCTTTAATGTTTGACCTGCTGATTATTTTCTAATAATTATCAGTTAAATATCAGACTGAAGAATTCATCCTAAAGCACAAGGTGATGTCTTTAAATGTCCCGTTTTGCCTGAACAGCAATCCAAGATCTTTAATTTACTGTTGTATAAGACAAAAAAAGCAGTGAATTCTTCCATCTGAGAATCTGTCACCAACACAGATTTGGTGTTTATGCTTGAAAAATTAAACAGTTGCTCTTCTTTCTTGTGCTATCATCAGGTTGTGCATGTGAACGGATACAAGAGCGGTGTGAATGTTCTCATCCGACTCACAGCAACAAAGTTATTCCAAATGTTTCCCACAAAATCAAGGTCACATTATCCCTTTAGGAAGAACAATTTCTGACCGACATGCTGAACAGCAAGAAGATTTGCTGATCCCAAACTGGGATCAGTTATTAAATCATTGTGTTTGTACTGGTTTTACAGGTTCATCCTCCAGCTCCCAGTGCACACACACACACACACACACACACACACACACACACACACACACACACACTGCTGTATCCTTGTACAACCTTGGTGTGATGTTGAAGGTGAGAGATGCTTATGTGTGCAAGTGTGTCATTGCAGTGCTGCATTGTGATTGGCTGGATGTCCTGAGGAGTAGAGGCGTTGGATTGGTTTGTTACGACACCAAATGGAGGAACAGATCCACTGGGACTTGGGAGCTGCAAGGAACTCTGGGAATCCACAGCAAGGCCCTCTGCTGAGGAAGTGAGAGGAGTGGAGGTGAGAGATGGAGGAGCGAAGAGTGGCGAACAGGATAAAGTAAGAGCAGAATGTGAGGAGGAGAGATGTGGTGAAGATCTCACAGTTTATAGATATTTTCACTTCATTTATTTATTCAGAAGGACAACACACACATGCCTGTGTTTGCCAGCTGGCTCCTCTTTAGCTGCAGCTCTTTGGCAAGATGTTACGAAAGCAGTGATGGTGTTTAAAATTTACGGAGAGAAGACAAGATGCCATAGTAACGCAACAGCAACATAATAATCGTTCTCAAGACTGTGCACAAGCCCTGAAGAAAACTGTAAAACACTAGAGAAATTCAACACCATTATCCACTATCTGCAGTGGTGGAATAGTACTCGGATTGTTTACTTAAACAAAAGTAGCAATACCACAGTGTAAAAACACTTTGTTACAAATAAAAGGCCAGTATTTAAGATGTTACCTTGGTAACAGCTCATTAGGTGACTGCAGATGATTACTCTGTGGGTCTGTCACTATGAGCAACCCCTCTACAAGTAGTTAAATGATCCCTTGTCGATAGAAAAATATTGATTATTGCTCCTTTAAAGCAACTTCAGGGGTATTTAAAACATGGGGCTGGTGATATTCTATATTTCTTTTTTCATAACCTCTAGTAACATTGAGAGCTACTTGTGAAAGTACTGTTAAGTCTAAATCATACGGGTGACAAATAAAAACCCTAGGTAAATGGGTGGAAATTTTAAAAATCGCAAGGGTCACTGACTAATCTACTGATTATTGTCTTAATTATTTGTACTGAAGCTGCTCTGGGGGCATGCCACTAAAAAGTCTGTGTTGTTCACTTTGTGCT